CAGGAAGCCCACTCTGCTTCCCCCAATCAAAATTAATAGCTCTCTGCTCTGGCTCCCATCTCTCAGTTAGCACTGTGTGTTAGCCAGTCTCCAAATAGGGTCCCCCCTCCCCCACAGTGAGCCTGGGGTTCCAGTATTCATGCGTTTATGTGGTCCCTTCACCTTTTCATTTGTGACCGATAGAATGCAGTGGAAAGGACACTGTGTGGCTCCCAGGCTGGATCATAAGAAGCCTTGCAGCTTCCACCTGGTAGGGCCATCACGGAGAAGGGCTCAGGAGCAGAGGGGCAGGAGAGGGGGAGGGTAGTTTGTTGTGGGTATGCTGAGCCAGGAGTGTGGATGTAGGGGTCCCCCTTGTCCTCCCTAGCGCTCCGTGGAATAGCCCTCCTGGCTTCTCAGGAGGGCCGCAGGCAGGGCAGGCTGTGGGGCATCGGATGGGGGCTGGCACGGGCAGGGCTGGACCCTACAATGCTGTCTCAGGCACTGGCAGGACCTGGGCTACATGATCCTCTACATCACCGGGCGGCCGGACATGCAGAAGCAGCGGGTGGTGTCGTGGCTGTCCCAGCACAACTTCCCCCAGGGCATGATCTTCTTCTCCGATGGGCTGGTTCACGACCCTCTAAGGCAGAAGGCCATCTTCCTCCGCAACCTTATGCGGGAGGTGAGTGCCGGGTGGGGCAGGGCCTCGGCCACACCCAAAATGCGGGCCTTCACAGCCTGACCTTCCTGAGCTAGAGGAGAGCCCCCACGTGTGAGAACGCAAGGCCCCCACAGTCCTTCCTCCTCCCTTAACCCCGTGGGCTTCCTGTGTTTATCCTGCAGCCTCAGGCTGTGCCTGGGGACAGCTCATTCACATGGATCTCGTGCTGTCCTTTTAACAGCCCTTGGAGGTAGGTGGCATCCCAGCTGCTGACCAAGAGGTTGGCTGTTCGAGTCCACCCAGAGGCACCGCAGAAGAAAGGCCTGGCAATCTACTTTCAAAAAAAATTAGTCATTGAAAACTCTACGGAGCACCGTTATGCTCTGACACACATGGAATCGCCATGAGTTGGCGATGACTCCATGGGGACTGGTTGGTTGGTTGCAAGGTGGGCATTTTTGTCCCTATTGACAGATGATCCTACGAAGGTACAGTGACTTGCCCAGTATCTCAGCATCAGCTTTCATCCTTTTTCTCCTGATTCTAAAGCCTAAACTCTAGACTACATCGGGTAACTCATTCAAAAGACATTTATTAAGTGCCTATTGTGTTCCCAGAGGGCAGTGGTGGTTCAATGGTAGAATTCTCGCTTTCCATGCAGGAGACCCGGATTTGTTTTCCGGCCAGTGCACCTCCTGTGCAGCCACCACCCCTGTCATTGGAGGCTTGTGTGTTGCTGCTATGCTGAACAGGCTTCAGCGGAGCTTCCAGCCTAAGACAGAGTAGGAAGAAAGGTCTGGCAAGCTACTTCTGAAAATCAGCCAGTGAAAACCCTATGGATCATAATGGTTTGATCCGCAGCTTATCATGGGGATGGCACAGGACCCGGCAGCGTTTTGTGAGTTGGGTGCTGACTTGCTGGCAGCTAACAACAAAACAGCATTGTGTTCCTTACCCTGTGCGTGGTGATAGGGCTGCACAAAGACAAACAATACGCAGAACGTGCTCTCCAAAGCTTAGGACTTAAGACAGTGGTCTCACAGCGAGGTCCTGGGACCAGCGGCATCCGCTTCACCTGGGAATTTGTTAGAAATGCAAATTCTCTGGCCCCACCCCAGACTTATTGACTCAGAAACTCTGAAGCGGAGACCCAGTACACTGTTTTAATCAGCCCTCCAGGGGATTCTGATGCACACAAAATTGTGAGAACCCCTGGTCTAGAGCAAGGGTTGACAAACACTGGCCTGTGAGTGAAATCCAGCCCATAGCCTGTTTTTATATGACATGTGAGTTAAGACTTACTTTTACTCTTTTAAATGGTTGGAGGAAAGAAAATCCAAAGAAGGATGATATTTCATGACATGTGAAAATTATTTGAAATTCCAATGGCAGCATCCATAAGTAATGTTTTACTGGGGCCAAGCCATGTGTTGTCTGTGGCTGCATTTACAACTGCAATGGAAGGGTTGAGTGGTTGCAGTCGAGTGCGAAGTCTGAAGGGTTTACTATTTGGCTCTTCACAGAAAAAGTTTGCCGATCCCTGATCTTGAAGGACATGTAAATTGATCATTTACTGGTGTGTGATCTTTACTATAACTGAAAAAGACCCCACTGATGAACGGAGGAGAAAGGATTGAGCTTTGCCTAGGAAGGCCAGGGAAAGCTTCCAGGAGGTAGTAACTTTTTAGCTGAGTCTTGAAGCACATGTGTGAGTTTGTCATGTGGACAAAGGAACAGCATGTGTAAAAGGCACAGAGGCAGGAAAGAGCCTGGGACCTTCTCAGAGCTTCAGGCTTCCAGGATGAGGGGCAAGTGCAGGGTCAAACCCAGGAGAAGTGGGAGCTGAAGCCCCAGACATCATCAGGGGCCTGAGCCTGGCAGGCCTTGAAACCTTGGCAACCAGGCCCAGGGCAATGGGTTGCCATGGAAGAGCTTGAAGCAGGGGAATGGCAGTGTCTAATTTGGGTCATAGAAAGATCCTGCTGGTGGCTGTGTGGAGAACAGATTGGCGGGAGAAATAAGAGGCAGGGAGGTCAGTGAAGAGGCTGTTGTTGCCCAGGCAAGAGGCAGGAAGACCCGAATCCAGGTGGTGGCAATGGCGATGGAGACATAATGAGGAGGTAGAGTTGCCAGGACTTAGTGATGGCCAGATGTAGGGAGTGAGGAGCTCTCCGGTGTCCATCTTGGATGATGAGGAGAACTGAAGAGCCACTCACCTGACCGTGGTCTCCTTGGGCAGATTGTGTTTGTTTTGTTCATCAGTGTATCTCTGGCATTTGGGGCAGTGACGGTACACAATAGGCACTCAATAAACATTAGTAGAGTGAACAAAAGGTCCCTCGGTGGCGCAAGCAGTTTGAAATTGATTGCTGACCTAAAGGTTGGTGGTTTGAATGCACCCATTGGTACCATGGAAGAAAGGCCTGGAGATCTACTTCCTTAAAGATTACAGCCAAGAAAACCCTATGGGACAGTTCTACTCTGTAATACATGGGTTCACCATGAGTTTGAATTGACTCTAGAGCAACTAACAACAAGAAGAATGAGTGAATGAATCAGTGAATGAATCAGCGGGATGAGATCGGGAGAGAGGAGGAGGACCAGGCTGAAGGAAGCTGAAATCAGTTGTGGACAGGTCCAGGCTGCTGTGGCCATGGGACATGAGCCATGTAAGCCCCAGCACGTGGTCCAGGGGCATGGTGGAGATTGGGAGACACTAGCATAAAGCCATGGCAGAGGAGGTATCTCCTGGGGAAGGTGAGGAGTGAGAGGAGGCTGAACTGGGCCCCTGAGAGCAGGAAGAGGAGCCAGCAGAGGAGCCAGGAGGAGGCCCAAGGGGGCAGAGGCCCAGGAGAGAGAAGCTGCCCAGATATCGGGGGAGGAGAGAGTCTCAAGAAGGAGAGAGTGTCTGTGAGAAGAGGTGTGGGTCAGTGAGACTGTTACTGGATGAAGACGGGCCACTGATGCTCTCGGTGAGGAAGGGACACCCCAGAGGGCCAAGGGGGCTCAGCTTGGAGGGTCCTGAGGGTGGGAGGCAGACTCACTGGAGAAGGAGGAATGACATGCAGAGTGAGCTGGGGCAAATGAGGAGGCAGGAAGGGACGAAGGGGCTGCTGCTTCCTCTGAGGCTAAAGCTGACTGGGAACACACCAGCCGATGAGGTGAGGGGCAGGGGTTGAGGAAGGACATAGGAGGCCTGCTCAGTGGTTTGACATCAAAGGCAACGTCACCTGCAGGACTAAGGTCTTAGGGAGGGAGGTAAAATATCAGCAAACATTTTTTGGGGGACGGAAAGAACATGTAGGGCAAGAGCGGCTTGGCTCTGGGAGTTTCTCCAGCGGCTCTTAATGGCCAGGGTATAGAAATGAGAAGGTGAATGATGGAAAAATTCCAGGCTGGACATTTGGCCAGGAGGGAGTGGGGGGAGGGTGATGGGGCCGAGGAATCACGGTGGAGACCAGAGAACACAGCAGTGCCCTAGGGAACCCAGGGAGGGTGAGGAAGGGGGCAAAGAACGGGGGCTGGAGCATGTTGAGGAGGTGAGAAGTTGGGGAGTGGTGGAGGTCATCTGGGTGGTTGGTGTCATGTGGGATGATGGCAGGATTTGGGGTGAAGACACGCTCCAGATGCCAAAGAAAATGCAGGTCTCTGGGAGACTGAGGAGCAGCTGTAGGGGGGAAGGGGTGGCCAGAGATGTGGACAGCAAGAGGGGTGGTCAGACTGGGTATGTGGAGGCTCGGGGTTCAGAGGGGGACAGTGTGGGTTCCCTCCTGGAGGTGGCAGCCACTGATGCCAAAGAAGGCAAGGATCCAAGAGAAAAGGTGGTAGGTGGGCTGTCCATGTGGACAGTGGGTCATCCCAGGTGGTGGTGGGGCTTAGAAGGAAGGACAACTAGGACCCAGGACCAACGGCCTCCAGTGAATTTGTGGGGAGGGTGACGGCACCAATGAGGAGGCACAAGGTGAGGAGCAGCTGGGCCGTGGGCACCTGAAGGAGGCGGGGGCTTCATCCCAGTGGGATCGGGAGGATCTGGATGTGACACCAGAACAAGGGGATCTTGGTGGTTCTCAGTACTGGAACAGACTTCCGAGGAGGATGGGAAGCCCAGGCTGGTGGATGTGGGTGGCCCAGCCCTATGATACACGAGCTGAGTGCACCTGGGACTCGATTTCTTTGTCCAAAAAGGAACACTTTGCCAGGTCACTATATAACCTCTGGGATCTTGCTGCCCAGGTGGGGCTGGCGAGTGGCTGTGGTCATGATTGTCACAGGCAGACCATGTCAGGCCTGAGTGTGGGGTGGGGCAGAGAGGGAGCCATCGCGGAGTGATACAGGGTGCACCTGTGACTTGGCGGGTAACAGAGTGCAGATAAAGGGTCCCCAAGCGGGGCCTCAGGGGTGGTCTAGAAAGCCTGGGGGAGGCCAGCTGGGCCTGCACCTCCTGCCACAGGCTGCCTGCCTTTCAGTGCTTCATCAAGATCAGTGCAGCCTACGGCTCTACGAAGGACATCTCTGTCTACAGCGTGCTGGGCCTGCCACCCTCCCAGATCTTCATTGTGGGCCGGCCCACCAAGAAGTACCAAAACCAGTGCCAGGTGGGTGAAGGCTGGGCTGGGGACTGGAGGGGCACGGGCCGGGGAATGGGGGAAGTAGGCTATTCATTCGTTTGCTTGTTCATGCAATCATTTATTTGTTCATTCCTTCACTTATTCATTCATTCTTTCATCCAACAAACACTACTGGGCACCTTCCCTGGGCCAGGCCCTGTGTTGGGTGCAGGGGAGGATTCCTAGTGGAGTTAGATGTAACATCAGTCAGTCTAGTGTGGGAGACAGGAGAAAATCTCTGCTGCCGCTGGGCCGTGGTCCACACTTTGAGTAGCAAGGTTATAAGGACACATGGGAGGAATTGGCAAGAAGGGCAGTTCTGGGGGCCAGAAAAAATGAGTTCTATGGGGTAGAGAACTGGATAATGGCATTTTTTGTTCTTTTGTTTTCTTTTGGCTTTACATTTTGGGATTCTAGTGAGCATGACAAAGACGGGGAGCAATTAAACTCCCCTCCTCCAATCAGGAATCTAAAGAGGACTCTGGTGTGATCCCCGGGTACAGATAGAGGTGGTGTGTTGTCAAAGCGAGGGGGAGCCCTGGACAATAATCAGCTCCCCTCGTCTCGGGAGCTGGAGCATGGTGGGAGGTTCTAGGGACAGGAGATGTTGGGTGGGCAGGACCGGGGGCCTGCGCCACCTGCTGGCCTAACGCTTGTCCCCTCCGCAGTTCCTGAGCGAGGGCTACGCCGCGCACCTGGCCGCGCTGGAGGCCAGCCACCGCTCGCGCCCCAAGAAGAATAACTCGCGCATGATCCTGCGCAAGGGCAGCTTCGGGCTCCACGCGCAGCCCGAGTTCCTGCGGAAGCGCAACCACCTGCGCAGGACCATGTCGGTGCAGCAGCCAGGCCCGCCTGCCACCAACCCCAAGCCAGAACGGGCTCAGAGCCAGCCAGAGTCCGACAAGGACCACGAGCGGCCCCTGCTGGCGCTCAGCTGGGCGCGTGGGGCCCCCAAGTTCGAGTCGGTGCCCTGAGGGGCGTGCTGTGCTTACAGCAGAGAGGCCCACCAGGCCGCCTGCAGGAACGGGAGGGGGCTGCCTTCTCACCGACACAGGCGTTTTCCTGCTTTTTCCCTCCCGTGTCTGTCCAGCAGTGTCCGACCAGAGTGGGGACCCTGCCCGGCCTTAGGGGGCCCCCTGGGCTGCGACGGGTGAGACACAGGGGTCTCAGTGCAGTCGCTGCTGCCTCCCCCATGCCGGCAACGGCAAGCCCAAGTCGGGGCTGAGTGTCATCCGGGGGGCAGAGCTGCTGGAGCTGAAGTATTTGAGCAAAGTCAATCATCTCTGTGCGTCCCTGAGGCTTCGGCAGGAATGCAGGGCAGGCCCTACAGGGAGCCACCCCCAGACCCAGCGATCAGCAGCCTTCTGCAGGCACAGCTTCTTGGCTGCCTCTAATAAGGGGTGAATGGCATTTGTGCCCACCCTTCCTGTGACATCCTGGGTCACCATATTGGGTCTGGCTGTCCTATGGCAAAGTGGCCACCTTCTGGGTGTGAGAGGACGTCCCCTGGGCTCATCCTCATGTTTGCAGTGTCTCTCCATGGCCCTCAGGGCACGGGGTCTGGTGCTGACGGTCTGTCCTCCTGCAGCTGTCCCTTGTCCCCCTTCTTTTTCTGGGTCTTCTCACCATCGCCCTGTGGCCCTTGAGGACAGGCATCCCTCTTCCTGGGGCGCTCCCCCGTAAGGCTGCAGGTGTGGGTTCTGGCCCAGGGGGCTGGCAGTGAGCCTGCTGCTGGCCCTCTCTGGGCCCTGCCTTCCTCCTGTGATTGGAGGCCCCCACAGCTGAGACTGGTGCGAGGTTTTGACTCCTAGGCCTTGTTGGCCTGCACTTCTGCCCCCTGGGGCTTTTCAGGCCTAAGGCCCCCTGGGAGGGCCCTGTGATCCACCTCTTCTACGCAGCCTGAGAGAGGGGTTCTGGGTGGGCCAGGATGGAGGAGATGTGTTCCCACCTCAGATGAAGCCCTTCTGGGAGGGATCCCTGCTTCTTGGAGAGCCTCAGTGTGTTCTTGTGTTTGCCGGCACTTATGCCTGAACTGGGTGTCCCAGGGACAAAGACACCCCCAGAGGGTAGTGTTCTGGCTCCCCCTCCCCCCCAGCTCTGCTCAGACCAACTTCTCCCTGGCAGGCGTAGAGCTGAGTCCCCAGGCTCCTGGGAGTTCGTGTGATTTTGGCACAAACTGTTGTCTTCTCTTCCCTTCCCCTGCCACTCAGCTTGGTTTGTGCCCATGACCTCCTCCTGGGTGGGCAGGGCTTGGCCCTCCTGGGGCCCCCTGGGGCCTAGTTGGCCCCCCTGCTTCTGAGCCTCTGGTGGGGTGTTGGCTCTCTGCACCTCTCTCTTGATCCCTGGTCCAGGCCTGCACCCATTTTGGGGGGCTGCCAGGGGTTGCCTCTGAGCCCCGTGTGTTGTCACTGAGGCTGGTCCCAGCTCTTTCAGTCAGGGCTCTGTGCTGGGGCCAGGTGCCCCCAGATGTCTGTATGCGCAGCAGGCACCTGTGTCAGTTCAGTGTTGCTTCTGCTCAATGTCTACCTCGCGCAGCTCCCACGCAGCCAACGTTCCCCGTGAAGGCTGCTGCTGGTGGAGGCGGCTGGGCACCTGGGAGCCCTGCTGGGGCTGGAGGGGGCTGGGCTCTGCTCTCATCACTAGAAATGTGTCTTCTCCAGTCTGCCAGCTCCTGCTCCGTTGGCCCAACCTGTCTGCTAGCTCTTCTGTTCCACTTTCAGCACTGCGTCCTGCATCCACGCCCAGAGTGGCTGGAGAGCTTGCAGGGGAGGGGTGTGGGCCAGCCTCTTCCTTCCTCTCTGGCCCCGCCTCCTGGTGGTTCACATGTGTCAGCCCCACACTCCCTGCGCCTTTAACATTTCATCCTCTTGACTCTCCATAAGGCACAGGCTCATATGGCAGAGCCACCTCAACCCTAATCCTTCCCACCCCCACAAGTTACCCTGATTTAAACTCATGCAGACTTAGTCTGATTCTCTGAAACTCCACATCTCCCGTTTGCAGAAGCCGCTGATGTATTTAATACTCTCAAATAATAACATCATTGGCATGAGATACTTTGCCCCCAGCTACTCTCCCTCTCCCCTTCTGAGGACCCCAGGGGAGGAGCAAGAGGTAACGCCTGGATCCCAGGGAATTTGGAGACAGAGTGAGCAGGGTTCTGTGGTTCCAGGGTTGGAGCTGGGATGTGGGACACAGCAGGAGGGCCGCCACCCCTTCCTTTCTGGAGCCCCCCATTGGGACTTGGACAACTCACACCTGAGATGCTGATGGTGTTCAGTGGGGTCTTGTAAACACAGCATCCTTGGAGCTGTAGTTGGTGTGTATGAATGTGTGTATTGTATGTGCGTTCTGTACAGTTACGAGACTTAGACCACTTATGTTCAGTACTGCTTTCATGGCAACTATGTAACCAGTACACACCCTCTATACTAGTGGTTTGTTCAACTTTGTCACTCAGTTAAGTTGGAGAAAAAAAGAACCCAGTCGTGTTGTTCTCCAGAGGGGGTGCACTGCCCCTCCCTGAGTAGTTCTGTCAACCCCAATCCGACTGTTTATTCTAGAGAATCCTTCTGGCTCCTGGTGTGCCTGCTCCAAGCAGCTGGCAAACAGCTCTTCCCGCCTGACCAAAGCTCCTTGTTTCTTGCGTGGCATGTTCGTCCTTCCCTATCTGGTGGGCTGTCCTGACTCAGGGACTGCCTGCTGCCCCCTCCTCATCATTTGCCCTGTTGGGGGTTCAGGGTGTGCCTTCAGGAAGGGCCTGCTCTTCTGGCATCATTGCTTTTGTTCTAAAGATCTCCACTCCTCCCTTAGGCTCCGCCAAATATTTAAAAAAAAAAAAAAAAAAAAAAAAACTAGATCCCTTTCATGCATTTGGATGACCCCTTCCCTCACCCCATCTGGGTGCTGGGTCGCAGAAAACAGACATCTTTGAGCCTCAGTAATCCAGGGATAAGGAGCCCTGGTGGCGCAGTGTTTACGTGCTCAGCTGCTAACCTAAAGGTTGGCAGTTTGAATCCACCCAGCGGCTCCGTGGGAGAAAGACCTGGCAATCTGTGCCCATAAAGATTACAGCCTAGAAGACCCTATCGGGCAGTTTCACGCTGTCACGTGGGGTCGCTATGAGTTGAAATTGACTCGATGGCAACAATCCAGGGATTACTGGGGTGTGGACTCTTGAGAGAGGGGATGCTAGTTTAGTGGTTTTTAAACTGTACTTTTACCACTTGAGCCCAGGCCCGTGCCCAGAAAGTGTCCTGCAGACCAGAAGTGGCACCAGTCTTTAAATGACACCCAGATCTCAGGCAGGTGGAAGTCGGTTGGAGGTGGCATCTCTTTGGCATCAGCTCTCCCACCCAGCTGAGGTGCTGCCCTACCCAGGAGGGGCGGCTCTGGCTGTGAAGCCGGCTGGGCCTCTGCAGCTGACCCCCGCCTTAAATAACCAACTTTCCTGCTGAACCTGGGGGATTTTGGGTGCCAAGTGCTTTGGAAACCTATTCTCTTTGGCTCAGCCGAAAGAAGACATCCTTTTCTTCCTTCCCTTGGGGCTTGGGGCAACTTTCTTAAAATTATACTTAGGGTTAAGTCCAAGCAGTGAGGCCTCATCCGGATTCTGCTCTCCTGGATGAGAAACAAGGTCCCTGGGTGGCACAAACGGTTTGTGCTCAGCCACTATCCTAAAGGTTGGCGGTTCAAACCCACCCGGTGGCACCTCGGAAGAAAGGCCTGGCAATCTGCTTTTGTAAAGATCACGGGCAAGAAAAGCCCATGGAGTCATTCTACTTTGTAACACATGGGGTCACCAAGAGTTGGAATCAACTCGATAGCAACAGGTTTGGTTTTTTGGTTTTGCTGAGAAACCAACAGAGCGTTTGAGAGGAAAGTCAGATCTTGACATTCTCCTGTTTGGGACAACAGGAAGCAGATGACACCCAGGAGGAGCAGGATGGACGAGGTCAGCTTGCTCACGGGGACCCCCACCCTCAGTCCCTTCTGTCCTTTTTTCTTTGTCTTCTTGGTGGTAGCAGCCAGTCTGACTGTCTTCGTGGTCTGGCTGTCTGTAAGTGTGCAGCTTTCAGTATTGTCTGTGGTGGGATATGGTTCTGTGGTGAAAAGATTTCTATTCCTTTGGCTGCCTTGTACAAACTCCGTTAGAAAAGAAAATGTAAAATACCAGATTTCTAACAAGACAAAAAAAAAAAAAAGCACTATGGCGTTAAAACAAGATTTTTACAACTGGTCTTGATTTTGATGTGAGCTGGTTTTTAACTCTCAAACGTCGTCACTTAAATAAAAACCTTACTTGCCTTTAAAATGTGTTTTGCTCTGGACTATGCTGACAGAGCTTTCTGGTTCCTTGTGTTTTCTCTAAGCTGGGGGTAGACAGGCTGGGGGTGGAGGTAGATGGGGAAGCAAAGCTGGTCCCAAACCAGAAACCTGTGACCCGGAGTGGCCTGGTGGCTGGTAGTCAAAGGGAAGAGATACCCAATGCAGAAAGATCGTCTTTATTATGAAAAAGCAATGTTATCTAGGAACGTCACACACTGGGTTCTTTCTAATAAAAGGACCAAGCAGGTTTCTTAAATAATTTACAAAGGGCGGAAAGGGCCCCTGGCCAGCGCTGCACCCTCGCCGCACACCAGCAGTGCCTTCTGCTGAGTAGATAAATAGGTACCATAAGCCCAGGGTCTGAGAGCTGGAAACCTCCCCTACCCCCTCTTCTGGGGCTCTGGTGGGGGAGGCAGGGATGGGCATGGGGTTCCCAAGAGCCTCAGCCCCGGAAACAGGGATGACTGAGGATGTGGACGGCTTTCTGCAGAGCCTGCTCTGGGTACATAGCTCGGAGCTCTCATGAAATGTCCACACTGAAGACAAGGCAACCACAAGGCCACAGTCTAGGATGAGCTTCTAACCCCAAAAGTCCCCT